GACCATCCGACCGTCATCCGTGCTTATGACGTCGCCGTTGATGTCCACCGCACCAGGGTGAAGAAAGTGTTCTTTGCTGGACGGCGACATGTCCTTACTCCCATGCCATTTCCACTATCACGGCTGAAGTGTGAGAATATCACAGAGCTATGCATCGCTGACTGTGCCTGTCAGTGGCAGCAGATCCTGGCAGTTGTGAGGTCATCACATATGCATCTGGAGGAGATCTGTCTTGTTGGTTGTGATTTCACTGATACCGATGTGCCCTCAAACCCGGTCACTCACACAACCACCGAATGCTGAACACAGTGGAACAGCTACCACCACCGACCATGGCAATCGCAACCCTGCAATGCTCGTGGCTAAGGCAATTGCCGAAGCTCGCTGCCTCACAGCGTTCGGTCTTCGCTACTGCAAAGGCATCGATGATCAGGGTTTGCAGGGGATCTGCAAGGCCTTGCGTCATTCAACAAACTTATCATACTTCCTCTTCCAGCAGCCAGGGGTGCTTTGTTGCATCGACATCCTGGCAGATAATCTTCGCAGTGCATGGCCTGAGATAGCGCATCTTGACTTTGGTGTTGGTGGCGACTCGGAAATGCAGGGGGCGCTATCCGACAACACTCTCTCTGCATTCCTGCATGCCATCAACGCACACGACTCACTCCGGCAACTTGTTATTCGTGGCGGTCCACGACCATACCGTACGGATGCCTACCAGTGTCTCATGTCCAGGGACTCCTGCTAGTACTTCATTATCCGTTCGAATGACTGGTCAATAGTTGATTGCTAGTAGTTTGGCATTCTCTCTATGTTCTACAGAACTAGTGCTCACAGTTGCAGCCAACACTATAAATATTTGATACCGAAATATTTGATAATGTTTGAACTTGAACTTGAGCCTCATCAACGTACCATTAGAACAAGATCTGAAGTTTGCAATTTTCCACTCCATACTAGTTTAGAGAACTCTCACCTTTAAAAAAAAACTGTTAGCTCTCAGTGTGTGTATACAGAGATGTGCACTCACATCTTGCCTTAGGCGGAGTACCCGCCTCATCCACTGATTATTACAGTGTACGATTGGAAGAAACTGTCAATTGGCCAAACCAGTCCGACTACAACTAGCCACAGTACTATTCCTGATTGAGATTCACTGCCGATCCAACATTGACCACAAAACTACAAGTATTTCTAAATACAGTGAAAACCTGTCTAAGACGACCGCTCAAGGGACCTTCAAAATGTGGTCTCTGTTACCAGGTGGTCTCCGTATCCAGGGTCATTTGACTGGAAATAACATCCCTTGGTCTTGGTTTCAGTGGTCTTTTAGGACAGGTGGTCTTTTAGGACAGGTGGTCTTTTAGGACAGGTGGTCTTTTAGGACAGGTGGTCTTTTAGGACAGGTGGTCTTTTAGGACAGGTGGTCTTTTAGGACAGGTGGTCTTTTAGGACAGGTGGTCTTTTAGGACAGGTGGTCTTTTAGGACAGGTGGTCTTTTAGGACAGGTGGTCTTTTAGGGCAGGTGGTCTTTTAGGGCAGGTGGTCTTTTAGGGCAGGTGGTCTTTTAGGACAGGTGGTCTTTTAGGACAGGTGGTCTTTTAGGGCAGGTGGTCTTTTAGGGCAGGTGGTCTTTTAGGGCAGGTGGTCTTTTAGGGCAGGTGGTCTTTTAGGGCAGGTGGTCTTTTAGGACAGGTGGTCTCCTTGACAGGTTTTACTGTATGTTGTTCTGCACATTCACTGAGTGAATAGCGGGGTATAGCGGGGTGAACTTGCTGACTTCCCTGCTGTAAACCACCATAGTGTAATATGCCGGCATTATTTTGCATTATTTATTTACATGTGTATCCTCATTACTACCAAGCTTTGGCTAGGCGTGTGCCTTCGTGGCCTAGCATAATTATGACGTACTAATTCTGTCGGAACAAGTGTGTGTGTGTGTGTGTGCGCCCTCGCGCGAGCGTGCGTGTGGTGTGTGCTTGTCTTCATCTGTCTCATTCAGATCTTGTCCGCCATCATTGCTATAAGAGAAGATTATGTTGTGGGTGCACATCCAGTGCATTTGCAGATTTGCGTGCTTCTCTTGCGACGGGCGCGTAAGCATGATCAGGCATTGATCGGCTAGAGGGTTGGCAGTTGGAATAATAATTATACCGGTTACAATAATTATTATCATGTGAAGAAGATGTTGGTGCGACTTCGGCGATACTTGATGTAGGGAGCAACACACAATTCCCTACACTATTATCAGCTTCAAAAACAAAAGCATCTTTTCCACTCAACCTACCCTGGTTATAAGAGTAATTGGCTACAGCAATATGTCGCCTATTGTGATCAAATTCCCATGCACTCTGAATCATTCGTGAATGTGGACGCGACATGTCAACACTGATGTGTACACGACTGTATCCTATACACTAGAAATCATGAAAAACCATGAAAACAATTCCCGGTTGGCGCGTGAGACTCGCCTGGAGGCCGAATGTTCAGCATATCCGTAGGTATGATGCCACCACCGAGGGACTAGACATGGTTAGCAGTTTACCGTTCACGCTATTTTCGGCGGTAGGCCTGCACCGTTTTTTGTGTGTGTAGACATGGCATTTTACAGTTCACACGCTAGATCCAACGGTATCCAACCGGAAATACCGTCGGTTTTTTTCGTTTCGACGATAGAAAGCTCTTTTTAGCGGGAGAACGAAACGGTAAGATTCTAACTAGGGTTACCTCACACGTTTATCGTTGCGTCAGGAGTCAGGACTCAGAAGCCGAACTGCTAACCGGTTAAATTAACCGTGTCCCGAAAACACATCAAAAACAGTAGACTCGCCCTCTACACGCCGACCGTCGAAATAGCGTGAACGGTAAAATGCTAACCATGTCTAATACCACGAGGGAGTAGTACAGTACGTCTACAAATTTTCAGCCCATTCAAATATTGGCCTCCCAGGGCTAAAACCCATTTCGGCCGCATCAAATTTTCGGACCGTACTGCTGCCGCCTGTATACACTGCCACACTGAACCTTGCAAAACAGCCAAACATAACAAGGCCGAAAATAGCCGAAAATAAATAATTATGCGTAATCTCGCATCATGCTAAAAAAATATCTGCGCTTACTTGAATATCCTTTTGGTAAATAACATTCTGTACTTAAAATATTATATTCCTCATGCCTAGGCTCATGGTGGAATCGAGGTAGTTTTTCCCTGCAATAACAGAATGAAGAAGGTGTGTATGTCATGTGTTTCTCGTTTTCTCTAACTCTTTTGCCGACAGATGCGTTAGCCCCATGGGTGATCTCACCCATGGAGTACATGCGAGCTGTTATTATTATTATTATTAATCTCGCATATAAAAGCAGGTGCTTACAGCCGTATAAGCCGATATCAGCGCTAGGCTTCTATTCAAACCACGTGTTTCTATGTATGTCAACACTAAACCAGGCTTATGTGCAGACAGTGCACCTTGAAAATCAGGCTTGTATTCAAAACAGGCTTCTATACAAGACAGGCTTTTATACAAGACACTACAGTACAGTATGCGCCGAATATTTGTTGACTTACAGACTTTACAGTACTCCCTGGCTACCACACTACCACCCTCTATGACTATGGGTGAAGGCGCAGATGCAGCTCCTGACATAGCGGTGAGAAGTGAGTACAGTAAGCCCTCGCTTAACCGCACACATCCGTTTTCCACAAATATCCGGATAGGCGAGGGAACCGGATAATCGAACACACACACACCGTATGTATGCATGGCATATGCTGTAAATCGGTAACCAGCAATTTTCTCCCGGATGGCGAGGGATCCGGATAAAAGAGGACGGGAAAAGCAAGGTCTGACTGTCAATCATGAGCCGGCCGTGGAAACATAAACAATAATTGAGCACACGTTTCGGAGACAGCAGCTTGAGCACACGTTTTGGAGACAGCAGCTTGAGCACACGTTTCGGAGACAGCAGCTTGAGCACACGTTTTGGAGACAGCAGCTTGAGCACACGTTTCGGAGACAGCAGCTTGAGCACACGTTTCGGAGACAGCAGCTTGAGCACACGTTTTGGAGACAGCAGCTCGAGCACACGTTTTGGAGACAGCAGCTTGAGCACACGTTTTGGAGACAGCAGCTTGAGCACACGTTTTGGAGACAGCAGCTTGAGCACACGTTTTGGAGACAGCAGCTTGAGCACACGTTTTGGAGACAGCAGCTCGAGCACACGTTTTGGAGACAGCAGCTTGAGCACACGCTTTGGAGACAGCAGCTTGAGCACACGTTTCGGAGACAGCAGCTTGAGCACACGTTTCGGAGACAGCAGCTTGAGCACACGTTTCGGAGACAGCAGCTCGAGCACACGTTTCGAAGACAGCAGCTCGAGCACACGTTTCGAAGACAGCAGCTCGAGCACACGTTTCGGAGACAGCAGCTTGAGCACACGTTTTGGAGACAGCAGCTCGAGCACACGTTTCGGAGACAGCAGCTCGAGCACACGTTTCGGAGACAGCAGCTCGAGCACACGTTTCGGAGACAGCAGCTCGAGCACACGTTTCGGAGACAGCAGCTCGAGCACACGTTTCGGAGACAGCAGCTCGAGCACACGTTTCGGAGACAGCAGCTCGAGCACACGTTTCGGAGACAGCAGCTCGAGCACACGTTTCGGAGACAGCAGCTCGAGCACACGTTTTGGAGACAGCAGCTTGAGCACACGCTAGCTTTGGAGACAGCAGCTTGAGCACACGTTTCGGAGACAGCAGCTTGAGCACACGTTTTGGAGACAGCAGCTCGAGCACACGTTTCGGAGACAGCAGCTCGAGCACACGTTTCGGAGACAGCAGCTTGAGCACACGTTTCGGAGACAGCAGCTCGAGCACACGTTTCGGAGACAGCAGCTCGAGCACACGTTTCGGAGACAGCAGCTTGAGCACATGTTTCGGAGACAGCAGCTCGAGCACACGTTTCGGAGACAGCAGCTTGAAAACACACAGCCACAAGGAGGACTACTTATGCTGTGTGCAATTCCTATTTGTGGACATGCACGAGTATAATGTAAAGGCGATGATTACGGGGCACGCAACGAGAAAGAACGAAAGGACTCGTAGCTCTAAACTGTTTTCTTATTACGGTCATCAGTGAATCTATGTAACAATGGAATGTAACAATGGAAAGGAATGCAACGTAAACAATAATAATAACTTAATATCAGTATAACTCTATTGGACTCAACGGATAAGCAGCATAACTCTATAGAGATAAATCTATTGTGGGAGGGGGGGGGGAGGGAGAGAGAGAGAGAGAGAGAGAGAGAGAGAGAGAGAGAGAGAGAGAGAGAGAGAGAGAGAGAGAGAGAGAGAGAGAGAGAGAGAGAGAGAGAGAGAGAGAGAGAGAGAGAGAGAGAGAGAGAGAGAGAGAGAGAGATAAAACCAAGCACGCTTGCCTGCTACGCTTGCATCATTAGTCGAACCGAGTGCCCCTAGGCTGCAACGCGTACAGCACTGAGAAATCCGTGGAGACACCCCTAGGACACTAAAAATAAATACAAGCTTCTACTAATGTACACCTACATAAATAATATATTATACAATAATACGCACACTTGAGAGAAGGAAACAAACTTGTTGCTGCGGTGACTCTGAGTTTCACGGTTTTAACCGGTCATCAGACAGCAACTTTTAAACAATACTGAACGGCTAAAGGGAACCACTTTATAGCGGTGAATGGTTGAGATTTCCTCAATCGCCAGTTGCCAGTGTTCGCCAGCGAATATGTGCATGGTGGTGCAGTGCGTGCGCACTAGAGCTCATCACGCTATGTGTACATGTACAACCTACAAAGCGGTGTGAACCCGCCTTGATAGACGGCCAAGCCTTTGGGATATCCTGATAAAGATCAGAGTCCTGAGAATACCTGTCGTGTCACGGCGTGCGTGTGTGTATTGAAGATGCAAACGCGTATGTGCACGTCCGGGTGCTGACGGTGACGACGCAGTGTACTCAGATAGCCCTGGCAAGGGTGTTGATAAGAAACGCCACGCAGCTAGAACAAGGCCTGAGCGGAACCGGAACCTAAGCCCGGAACAGTGATAGCACATGGCGTTACATGTGATGCTGCACCAGAGCCAAGGCAACACGAGGGTAGAGCCGTGTACTCCCTGGTGAGAAATACCAGGGTCGTGCCAGGACGGGCCGGCTTTCTGTCAATGTCACCAAGGACACGGTAACGGGTATGGGCGCATGCACACAGACACACACGCACGCACACAAACACACACACACGCACACACACGCATACACACACGCATACATACACACACACACACGAGCGCGAGCGAGTTAACCAGTGGGCGAGATCAGCTAGCTGGGGCATTGTCCCAGCGTCTTCATCTTCGGGTCGGCAATAAGCTTGTCGTAGTCAACACCCTGCTTTTGCGTGGTGCACTGCACTTTGTCCTGACTCCATGCCCGATGGATGCCATGTAGCTCTACAAGTTTCCACACGGCCTCGTGGCTCTGCAGGCCGGCTACACACGGACGGAATGCGTCCACAGACTGCTGCTTCCAGTTCAAAATGCGTATGTGTCCGTCTTGACCAGGGTACGGGTGGTGTACGTTGCCACGGCGATCCAGAACGACTTCCCGGTACGTATTGCAGTAACCGCTGAACACGGCAGCGGAGCGGAAGCTGGTGGTCTCCGACGACATCCACCAGCTGACCGAGTCGAACTTTGTCGGGTAGGGCAGCACGGGACGCAGTGCCGTGCGATGGAAGATGTCCACGGCGGCGTCGTTAGCACAGTTCCGCACGCACTCCATCGGGTGGTTGGCGATGTCGGACGGTGAGAACGGGTAGGCGACGCCCGCACGCGCCGGTCGATCACGTAGCAGCAACGTGCGCAGCTGCTCGCTAGCCTCCATGTGCGACGGAGCTTCGGGATAGTGCGTCTTATTGAAGCGCTTGATCATACGCGCGTCGCCATCACAGTACAACCAGAACTCAAAGTTCCACCCTTGCTCTTTCTCCCTGGCCAGCGTCAGATCTGAGAGATGATTGCGACCGCTTGCCCAGGACGACTTGGGGAAAAAGTCCGTCTGCACCTTGCCAATGTTGGCAGTCGGTGGCGGCGCTTTCCACGTCAACAGAATCACGTGGACGTCCGGGATCAGACTGGTTTCCACGTAAACGTCGGGCACAGCACTGTCCGCCATCACAAGGTATGCAAACGTGCCGGGGCGGATGGATGTCGGCTGAAGACGCGATGAGGGCGTGGGAGCAGCGGGAGTGGGCGCTTCAGTCACACTGGCAACGCTGACAGAGGCACCGGAAGCAGATGTGACAGCAGGGCCAGCGGTAACAGACGAAGAGACAAGAACGGCTGAGGGAGCCATGGGAGTTACTTCAGCACCTGGAGTTGCAAGAGAAGTAACCGAGAGACTTGCAACAACAGCAGCAGGAGCAGCAGCAGCATCAGCAATGGGTGTGGCAACAGCGGGTATAGCAGCAGCAGCTGGAGCAGCAGTAGCAGCAGCAGCTGGAGCAGCAGCAGCTGGAGCAGCAGCAGCTGGAGCAGCAGCAGCTGGAGCAGCAGCAGCTGGAGCAGCAGCAGCTGGAGCAGCAGTAGCAGCAGCAGCAGTAGCAGCAGCAGTAGCAGCAGCAGCAGCAGCAGCAGCAGCAGCAGCAGCAGTAGCAGCAGCAGCAGCTGGAGCAGTAGTAGCAGCAGTAGCATCAGCAGCAGTAGCAGCAGTAGTAGCAGCTAGAAAAGTACTAGGTAGGGCGGTTGTAGTTGTTGTTGTTGTTGTTGTTGCTGCTGCTGCTGCGACAGGAGTAGCGACAGGCTTTGTAGCGACAGGGGTAGGAGCGATAGCAATACTAGCGATGGCGACAGTCATGCTGTGGACACTGGTCACCAGCGACGGGGGTGGTAGTGCAGTAGTAGTAGTAGTAGTCTCAGTAGTTGTTGTGGTGGTAGTGCCACTACTTCCTTCGCTGACGTTGCCATCACCACCACGATGATCAAAGCCGGGCAGCGGTACTTTGATCCTGAGCAGCGCGGGAGTGGCACGGGACGGCGAGGCAGCAGGCGTGACAACCCGGTGTGAAGCATAGATCGCTAGCAACAGCATGTTAACAACGAGCATAGCGAGCAGCGCACCGCGCGACCGAAACAAACACGTGGTGGCCGCGGCAACGCAGCCCGTCCGTCCTTTCACCTCCGGCGACTGCGGCGGCCTCGGTCCCACTTGCACTGCTGGCCTCCGGCTGCCACTGCCATTGCTGTGGGGAGCGCCTCCAAGTCTGCTCTTTGCATAGCTGAATTGCTGCACGGATTACAGGAAATGAAGAAAACATGGAAATTTATAGTAAAGAAGAATGACCAAGGAACTACAAGTTACACTATAATGTCCACTAACACCACCGGTTACTAAACAATCAGCTCATGCGATAACATTGCACGACACTGACCGACGGTCATCCATCCGAAAACATGGAAAGCTTGAAATGGCTCCTTGCCGGGAAGTAAAACGAATATTAACAACATTTTAGATTCTCCTATTCAAGCTATTGACCATAAGTCTCGTTTTATTTTAGTGACGACCGTTCCACTGATGAAAGTGATGCTAAAATATCCGTTTACAAAAATAATTATGAAGTTGAACTCGGACGGTAAGCCAATTAAATTATGGATAAAAAAGGAAAAGACAAAAAAATGGTACGAGTTATGTACTTCGATGGACAGTTAGTCATAACTCGTACCATTTTTTTGGTCCGTCTCCTTTTTATCCATAATAATGCGTAGACAATACATGGTGCACACCGGGCTGGGGAGCAGCTTCAACCTACCCGTGAGGCCGTCGCCGACAGGATATAGGGTGCAATGAGCACAGAAACCCTAGCGAGATTCATCTAGCGTAGCACGAAGCTGGGCACGGGGGTGGGGAGGGTTTGCAGCCGCAGGGTTAAGCAACACCAGACTGCGTGCACTGGGGACAGTGGGAGACGGGACGGCGGTGGTCTGTGCAGCTGCAAGTCGATCAACACCGTAAACTACCGCCAAGAGCGCCCCACCATTCTCCACCAATCGTCCATCCGTGGTCGCTCTGGGGAGGCAGGGTGTGTGTGTGTGGGGGGGGGGGGGGGGGGAGTAAAGACCCAGGTCGGTCAACAGTTACACTATAATTGAGCACTAGTTTGTGGATAGGGGGAGGAGGGCTGTGGTCAGTCACACTACAATCTGATCTAGAATTTGCACTAGGTTGCGGATGGCAGCACTGATTCCAATACCGCAAGAGCTGGTGGCACCTGACGGTCCTGACCTGGCAATACCCTCAGCATGCTGCTGGTGCTTGTGCTGTAATTACCCTCTTCCTCTTAAGGACAAGGTCCAGTACAGCATTTATAAAAGGCATTGAATCCTATCCTTAACAGTAATGGACCCTCTCCCTAGTTTCAAGAGTACATAGCCCCCGTTGCGTACTCTTGCTAATATGGTTGCTGCCATAGGGATGTGATTTACCGTATGGGCGCGAATAGAAGCCACGGGGCTCTATTTTTCCAGAAGACACCTTGAGGGGGGCTATATTTGAGAGAGGGCTTTATTCGCGAGGGGCATTATTTTTTAATAGAAACACAGGGTTCTAGCCAAAGGGGGGGGGGGGGGGAGGGGGTGCTGCGCCCCCCCCCCCCCTACTCATTTTCCGATTTTTGTGTTTTTCAGGCCATAATTACGAAGATGCATGCAGTCACCGATCGATCGTTCCTGGTACGGGTGCACACGTGCTGCTTGCATGCATACTGTACTAGCGTAGAGCGTAGAACTGTATGTACATGTATGTGTAGTACTGTAACTCTATGTAACTCTATATCGACCTACTTTACAAGTAGGGATGGTCTGTAATTTTGGCCGGCTTTCCAAGTTGCGCTATTTTTGCAAATAATGATCTGCGTTGATAGTAGTGACTGCTAATAATTGCCTGGGTTTGACTTTGGATTTTTCTTCAATCATCTTTCCGATCACATTATCATGGATTTCCAATAAAGTTCTTTGACTACTGTAACTGGATGTTCATGTTCTGCACTAGTACACTTGTACAGTCAGTGCACTATAGTACGTTTCAAAAGTATAGACCTCTAGACTTTTTCGAATAATTCAAATTTGCTTTGAGCTTTTTGAGAACTTTCTTCGGAATATTGCTCAGGCAGCTCACGCGATTTTTCTCATGTAAATTTCTAAGCGATTGGATAACAGACGCACAATTTCGAAAATTTATGCACAACGTGATCACAGATTTTATGTGGTATACATGCTGGCCTAATGTTTTTTTGAAACCAGAGGTCTGGACTTTTGAAACGCACTACGTATAGTGTGCTTCAGATTAGGAACGGAGTTGTACCATGTGTACGGTAGAGGACGAAAGGTCACGCGAATCGCCTGTAGCAACGGCGTTGCTACAGGCAGTTTGACAGCAAGCTACTACTACGACCGGAAGTGGACTGCTGTTTTGTTTCGCTGGGACAACTTGATGTAGAGAGTGACCAAGGTGACTGTGGTTGTTTGTTGAGGCTGTGCTGCAAATTTCGCACTGAATTCGCCGAAAATCTATGTTTTAGTGCCTCTGAAGCGCTCATGTAAATGTACACTGTATTACGGGGAGGGGGAATTCAAGTACTGCTTTGAGCCGAATTCTGACTTTGGGGCTCATTATATGGCCGAATTTGGACATTCTCTAGAACTCCACTCTGAATAAAGCCAAACAAACAAACAAACTCTTAGCCGATCGAAAAGCCGATAAGGCGAAAAAATTGGGCCGATTCAGGAAATGCCTAGTCCACGTGCATAGCACTAATGAACTAGTGCGTATAGAGATGTCGCAAACACGGAAAAAAAGAGAAAAAAATTGTGAAGCAGGTGTCGCTGTCACAGCCCGTCACCGGTGTCGCTAGTCGAGTGTCGCGTCACAAAAGTTGTATTGTCAACGGGCCTTGTTTGCGCCCTAAAGCTGTCATAGGCTTTATGCCACAAATAAATTACTCCGCCATTAATTTTGATCTTGAGTGTTCATCAACCACCACACAATAACTGCACTATCCAGCTGTCCGGTTTATGGTGTGGTCGTTGATCAAACATCTGTACAGGGCCAATTGCTGATGCTTACCCCTGCATTTGTGATATCTACGGTACCATTCTCTCTTCTTTCTCATTATTTTCTACCCGACCCTCCTTCCCTGTGACACAATAGCATATTCGCTGCCTTGTCATTGAGCATTTGTGCTCGTTTGGACTTGCGAATTCAAATACTGTAATTTCACAAATTTTCGGTGTACTTTTATTTTCGGTACTTTCGGTGCATCTGTTTCATACCTAAAATTTCAATACACCGAACAAACACTAACACGTATAATCCAATGGGGAACTGCTTCCCCGTACCGAAAAAGTTCACCTAACCTAGCCTTTTGCTCTCATACCGAAAATATTGAGCACCGAAAATTTCTGAAATTAGAGTACTTCGAAGTACTAGTAAAGTATACAAACAAACAAACATTTGATCTTGAGGGCCAACTAAACGGGAGGTACGCATCTAAGATGGCCGTCGCCTTTTTGCAGGGCAAGTACAACCCATACTTGGCAAGTACAACCCATTCTACTACATTCACGAGTATGACCTCACCAAGTTGTCATCACCTTCTATGCAGAGCTGGTATCAAGGTGTGTACGGTTAAGAGTAGGTGGTTCCACCGGTTGTAGTGGACTTGCCCTGCAAAACTTAAACGGAGGGGAAACTGATGCAGGCGTGCCATTGTACACACTGTGATACCAATCCTGCATAGGTCATAAACTGTGTACGACCATACCCACAAATGTACTACAACTGGCTGTACCTGCCAAATATGTGACAGGTTGCCCCTGAAAAAGGTGGCAGCCCTATTTTATGAATAAACCCGATTCCTAGGGCATGTTCGATTGTGCGAATCCGTGAGCCCCGGACCCGCATTCGCCAAATTCGTACATGTTCGATTGTACGAATCCGGATCTCGAGAGCACGGATTCGGATCCAGTCAACCCACCTCCCAGAGACGGATTCGATGGATTCATTTCCATGGTACGACTCGTATCTATTCAAAACTCCCAATACACTGTAGTAGTAGTAGTAGTAGTAGTAGTAGTAGTAGTAGTAGTAGCAGTAGCAGTAGCAGTAGCAGCAGCAGCAGCAGCAGCAGCAGCAGCAGCAGCAGCAGCAGCAGCAGCAGCAGCAGCAGCAGCAGCAGCAGCAGCAGCAGCAGCAGCAGCAGCAGCAGCAGCAGCAGCAGCAGCAGCAGTAGTAGTACAGTCAAATCTGCCGTTAGCGACCTCTGCTGTAGGCGACCATCTACCGTTAGCGACCGATTTTCCGTGCACCGACGGTTTCGCATACAAACTGATCTGTCCAGAGCGACCATCTGCTGTGCGCGACCAGCGACCGCGATTTCATGCACGGTGGCTGCATTCAAATCTGCTGTAAGCGACCGTGACCCAAGTTCAGTCAGGTGCGAAACTGTACTTGCTAGTGCACTGTCAACTGCAAGGTGTGAAAATGCGCTGTCTTGCAAATGCGGTCGACTGGCCCTGGACTGTACTGAGGCTGCGCTGTAGCTCCCAAGATTAGCCCTGGTGCATGTATGTGCACTATTCTTGGGTTTGTACACCCCTATATTCTATTGAATATCCAATAAAATGATATTAAAAATCACATTATTCTCGCCGATTTGAGTACATGGAAGCATATATGCATGCCTGGTATGCCGGATTTACCATACATCTGCCGTAAGAGACTGCTTTTTCTCGCCACAAGGGGCGGTCGCTTACGACAGATTTGACTGTAGTAGTAGTATATTTTATTATTTTACTAGGGGAGTCCCAACAGGCGTTGCCTTTTTACTGGGAACCCTAGGTGAATTTTTACCATGTGTACATACAGAGTAAGAGACGGGGCCTGACGGCAGTCAGTGGGAAGAGCATTCCATCTGTCTGCCGCCAGGAAAGAAATAGAACGCATGCCATATTGCGTAGAAACAGGCGGAAGAACTAATGCACGCTGTGCCTGGCCGCGCGTGCGTGCATATGCGTACACTAGGTCAAGGGTTCACCATATTGCATACATATACTACAGGATGAGCTGTAGCAACACGGTTGCTAAGGCCTTGAAACGGATTATCGGTTGTGCACATTCAATTGTGTCCGTCCGATCGAAGTGATCTGGTCGGCGGGGATCGGGATCCAGTTTCCACAATCGAATGCAGCCCTAGAATCTACCTTAAAGGGGAACTGTCACCAAAAAATTTC